AAAAATATTGCATACAGATTTACTAAAGGCATAAAAACCTTAACCGGAAGATAAAAACAACATAATACAATCATTTTTAAAGCAAAAAATGTACAATTTACAAACATATAAGAGTAAAGAAACTGAGATCACTGAGCCGGGTAATAGAGTGCTGGGTGCATATATAAATATATTTATATAAGTTTGATGCGGCCGATTGCAACCAAAATACGCGGTGCACATCTACATGTTATAGCAGTCCTCTATACAAAATTTCAACGTTCTGAGGCTACTCGTTTTTGAGTTATGCGAGATACGTACGTACGCACGCACATACGTACATACGTTCGTACAGACGCCACGAAAAATTCTCTTCAAGATTAATTTTAAAGCAGTTTTATAATTTTTTTGAAGGAAAAGAGTATTTTATTCTGTCCTTACGTACGGATATCACGCAAAAGCATCGTTAAATTGCATTCGATAGCGGTCAAAATGGATATTTTCGTTGAAATATGCTGCCTGAAACTTTTCGCGATTACAATACTTCCTTTTTACTTCGTACAAGGAAGTAAAAAAGAGAGAGAGAGAATTCGCGTTTATACCTTAGATGAGACACTGTAATTGCAACATTACAAAACAAGTTGTGGTTTAGCTACGTTTTTCCTATGAAAAACTTGCACCTCGGGATAGCTGAAAATAAATTGCTTTCGGCTCCTTGATAGAATAGTTACAGCTTCTCAGCGCACAAGCCCGACTTAGATAGATCCCGGGAGATCAAATTCTTTATGAGTTCCTTTGCTTAAGCACTCACTAAATAGTCATTTAGAGACGACAGAAAGTTCCACTTCTCGGTTGTTCCGAAATGGTGATATATTAGTTAAGCTTAGCGGCGTAAAAGAGCACGTAATCTAAAACTTTATTATTTGCTGGTATGGATGCGTTTCTTGGTCAAATCTGAATTTACTATTAGAAAGCAATTGCACTTTTATGATTTATAAACAATTAATTCAATATATTTGATGACACAATAAAAAGAAAGGAAATATTTATTTCATGTAGTCTTTGCCTACTGATAAATCTGAGTGTAGCCCAGAAATCTTGTTTTCAAATAGTAATGAAAATGATTAAAGAATGCTATCCAAATAATGAATTGGTTGCACATTTGAACATATTGTTCTAGGTTTAGTACTAACAGCAGAGTCACCAGTGGTGTTATTTTTAACTTTCTTTTCTCTCATTATTTGCTCTGGCTTTTCAAAACACAGTCTGTGATGACGAGGTTGAGACTATTCGGACTATTATTTTGACTCATAGAGACTACAAATAGAGGCATAGACTACAAAATTTGCGAAATGCTGTTGGCCTTTCAAATTTCTCCGTTGCTTTACAGTCTACAGTTAATTAAAGTAACCCAGTTTTATGCATAAAAGCGCAATAATGTTCGATTATTACTAAAATGATAAGCTGATGATTCTCCAAAAGAATATCGTTCTACAGCAATTCAATCTCATTGCGAAATATCTGGTAATGAAACGGCGGAAGGTGAGGCAAAGATATCAAATTAACTGATTGTACTTCTTATTAAACATTATTCTTAATATCATAATTAACAATATTGAAAGCTCATTCATTTACAATCTTCAAAAGTTCTCTTTCCACTTCTGTATTTTATCGCTTAAGACTTTCAATTTACTGGGAAGGTAAATGTTTCGTACTCTTTTGAACATCTTGACTGTCATGTGCATCCCCGATAACTCACAGCCTTACGTTTTGAAGTCGTGTGCATCAAATGTGATTCGCAGGTTTTTATATTGTCTGAAGCCGTGTGAGTCACCGATCCTTCACAAAGACACAGATTTATACCGTTAAATTATATCTACAGCCTCAGAAATTTGCTTCGTGTTCTTAGTTTCCAATTTCTGGAAGCTTTTTTCTGTTAATTATTATATAATTTTAATATATATTTTGCTGCGGCAACTTTTAATTATCTATGTGAAAGCAAAACTAGGTGCTGAAATGATTTTTAGGATAAATGGGACAGCAAAACACTAGAGTTAAAAATGGTCTGACAGAGTATTTTACCCGATTTTGCTGTGGCAGTCAATGTGTTAAATCATATTAAGCTTTTGGAAAGTTCATGTATCGTATATTGTAATGTATTATACTATTTATACATTACAATATACGAGGTAATAATGGCATGTAAATGACTTTGTTCTAAATGATAATATGTAATGTAGGTATTTGACACAAAACATATTAACGATTTGAATTCGCTAATTTGAACATTAGCGAAGATTAATCAGTATCTCGTAGAGAAATTAAGTTATTTCGAAACAGACGACATGAAAAATGAACAATGCCGTCGCCGGGACTCGAACTGAGGACCTCTAGAATACGCGCAGAGTGTGCTGACAATTATACTACGAAGGCATGCTAAGAAGGCGGAAGAAATACCTTATATACCCCCCTTTTAAAGGGCGACTGGGGATTAGGGGACCCAATCGCCAAGTCCTGGTGGTGAAGAATTATCATCCACCACATTTTTTAGTTCGGGCGCCACTGTAAAAATATTAGTTTTTTTTTGGGGGGGGGAAGCAGCAGACTTGAAAAATGAGCAATGCCCTCTCCGGGTCTCGAACCTCGAACTTCTCGAATACGCACCGAGTTTGATGGCCATTACACCACGAAGGCATGCTAAGAAGGTGGCAGAAATGCCTTATAATCTTAATCGAAATATGAAAAAAACTGAATTTACAGTTTAGGTTTCTCTCACTGTAAGCACACAGTATACTTTCATGAAGAAAATTTCCGGGCTGCTTTGTTTTAACAATCATCTTAAAATATTATTGTTGAAAACATTCTTACATTCAACTTACATTAACCCTTAAAGAATCGACTAGTTATAATGACTCCTGTGTAAAAGCAATACAAAACTTCTTTTACTCTCCTTTCTAGTGGAAGAGGCTGGTTGATCTGTTCATCATTTATTTAAAGTAATTGAGTAACAAATAAAATTAATTCGAAATACGATGAAAATTAGCAGCATGAATTGCAGTAACCTGGGCGAAATGTATTTCATGCGTGAGTTGCATATATATATTACAAAGTATTTCTCCTTCCTTTCTCCTTCCTTTCCGCTACACCACGAAGGCATGACCTTCGTGGTGTGGCGGTAGCACACTTGGCGCGTATTCGAGAGGACCAGGTTCGAGTACCGGCGAGGGCATTGCTCATTTTCTCACATCCTCTGCATCAAAAGTGTCTTGTTATTCAAAAGTCATTATTGTATTCAGGGATAACCTCGTGATTTAAAATGTGTCTGGTATTTCAAAAATCAATAAAATATTCTGAAATATTTTATGAAAATTTCTGAGAAGATAAATGTTGCTCAGTTAAGAAATCCTTCTTCGGAGTATACAGGTTTCTGAGACTGAGAAATTCTTTTATCTTCTTCTAAAGTTTGTCGTTAGCTTTTAGAATCAGTCTATATAAGGACTAAACATTGCACCACAGACAATCAACTGCCTAGATACCTAATATTATCTTCCCTCACTCTGTTCGTAGCGAAATATTTTATAATTTATCAAAATCAGTACATATTTAGTACAGTAGAAACATTTAGTACAAAATTAAAATATTTATTTATAAAAATAATATTTCGTTAACAATATTTTCAGTAATAATTCTGGAAACTTGCATAACGGCAACTCTGATGTAAATATTGTATCTCCTTGTTAATTGAAATCCGTAGAAAACATTAATTGAAAACACTGGAACATTATCCGGTTGGAAATATTTTTACAACAGGGATCAATTCTCTGTAATCAAAGAGCCTGAAACAAATACCAAGTAGCAAGTTGACAAGCATATAAATATGTAACTCGTATGCATGGTTTCTGAAGCCAAATGGGTAAAAATATAATAAATATGATCCGCTTGAGATTTCGATCAAGAACCAGAGCCACACGGTAAAACTCACAATTATTTCTTCTGCTACAATCATTCTATTTGATAGACGGTTAAAAAAAAGGAAAACATCAACTGTGTTCGTGATAGGATTCGAATCAACAATCATCCAATTGCTGGTTGGATGTGCTACCTTTTTATATTAGGAGAGTATATGGAGGAGAATGGAATAATTTCTTTCATTCTCTTCAACTTACAAATCGCACAGGAACTACCAGAGGGTCAACATTTAATCAGGCAAATTCAGGCGGCGAAAATTTACCGTTCACCATGTTTTAGTTCGAGCGCCACTAAGCTGTTAGGAGAGAAAAACATCAGACGGCAAAAGTGCCCTCGCAGTGATTACAATCCCGAATCTTCCAGTTATTATCTGTAAACGCTAACCGTTTACACTACTAGACCACACACGTGGAACTGCGATAATTTCTGATACGGTAACCTTATAAAATATTTAACACCCAGCCAACAGGAATTTCTTATCAGAGTTCTGCTGTACTCGTTGTACTTCACAGACAAATCCACAATAGTTTATAAAAACGTTTTCAATCTTAAGGTGACACACAGAGTGCAAACCTTTCTCATGATTTTCAGATAAAATACTCTCGGAATGAGGTAATTATAAAGTAATAACCCTAAAAAATTCAAGAAAGCATAGCGTGCTCTTAAATTTTTATCAGGTGTATTTCCTATCTTTACCTCATTTAAAAATAATCACAGAAATAAAACAGGCATTGTTAATATCAAATATTTTTAAATTAAACCAATCTGGTGAATTTTCATCCCACACAGTCCACTTAACTCGTAGAAGACTGTATTTGTATCCTCACTTTATGTATATGTAATTAGAGGCTAATTTCCCAAATAAATTTACAATCAAATGCTTTTAACAGCAGCATCTAATATGATAAGTTAATGCTCTGTACTTTGATTTTTTCTTGTTATCGATAATTTAATCAAAAAACTAATACATGATTCGATTTAATTAAACTTAAAAGAAAAAATCAATCCTAAGAAAATTATGGACTTCCAGTTTAATAAGAAAACATTCTTACTTGTAGACCAGCCAGATCAGCAGCTGATGACTCATCTACCCCTGTGATATAGATTCCAAGACCATACTCAGCTCCTCCACGAATCATAAAACCAAGCGATAAACCTTCTTCTACAGATACCATCACCTACAAAGAAAACATTAAATGCTGAAACTTTTAAAACACATAATGAAGTTTTCTACGAATATCAAACAAACAATGAGATGTCTCAAAATATTTGAGAAGCGTTTTTTTTTTATTTCAAACCCTTCGCCCATTTATTCAAAGGATTAAATTTAAGCAGTAACAGGCAAAAATATATACAGGTCCATGAAAGCCTTTAAGGTGCGTTTATTTTCTAAACGGGTGGCCGTAGGCAACATTTACAAAAGTATTTTAAATGACTCAAATATTCATATCTTGACATTTCCATAACTAATAAATGAATTTGTGAAATTTTAAAAATCAGAATTTTTGCGCAGTGTAATTACTGTATTTAGCGAGACTTTTTATTAATTCTAAGAAATAAAACACAAAATGCTTGACGCTTGCAAGATGAAAATTAACAGAATTCATTTTTAAATTTTAAGATCATGATTTGAAAATTCAGGTGTTGAACACTAACTGAAGGGATAAATCTTTAAATTTGCATGTAAGTGAAAAGGAAAAATCAGTTCTGAAAAAAGATTTCCTATGTTGGTATACAAAATGCGCTCAGCATTAATATACAGACTATTGGGAAAAGTATTGTTCTAGAAAAACAATGGCTCGTCTGACATAGGCAACTTGTAATATACTATTTGCAAAAATTAAAAATTAAAAATAATTTTATTCAATATTATTTTTGTATGACTAACAGATTATGATTCTAAACTAATTGAATATGGATAACACATTTGTAGCATTGTAGCATGAGATATCTTTTAAATTAGTTCGCTGAAAGTGTTTTTTTAAAAAAGTAACTAATTGTGAATTAAAGACACTTGTAAATCACAAAAGGATATCGCTGAATGACATCAAATGGAAATAAAATCTGAAAGGTTTCAGATTTTATATTATGCCCAAAAGGAGGTTTATTTAACGTTTTGTGTGTTACCTTTATTTATTAAAATATCATGTTCTTCGCACTTAAAACACAAAATTCAATTCAACAGTAATATAGCAAAATAATTTTAAAATGAGCATATTTTTAGAATTTACGATACACAGTCTCGCGCGCTAGAGATAATTTTTTTCCCGTACAGTGTTGCCATTCTTCGCTTTGAAATCGTTGATTTTGTTAACCAAAAATTCTTTAATGTCTGACAAAATATGAAATAGATAATAAAACAAATTCCAAATTAGAGTTTTCATGTTCCATTCCATGCCCATATTCAGTGGATAATTACGTTATTCAAAATTTGGTGGCTATAGGTACCGTTGTTTTATCACCCATATATACATTATGCAGATTCTTCATTATTTAATTTCTTTACATATAATACAGGGCCGTAATATTTGGTGGTAACAGTTTGAAAAGTGAATCAACGCAATCCTTTCTGTGCTAACACCCTTTGGGGTAAAAATATTCAAGCTCTAGTTACCTCAAATTATTTCTGAACGAAGCTCTGAAAGAAAAAGGGAAAAAATTTCTTTTTTCGCGATAAAAATTCTGAACATTTTTATTCTAATTCCAAATCTTTTGTGTTCTCTTGTTTACAATATGCATCGAAATCTATTAAACACAGTTGCGGAGACCAGGAGACCTTAAAAAGTTCTAAATTCCAAAAGTTTTACAGAATTAAAACTTTTTTAAAATTTACAAATATCATAACATTAATATCTGCATCACTTAAACACTTTTAAAAGTGGAAGTACTTTATTATTCCAGCTAACGTTTTCAAAACTAAAGGTCGCTTAAGAACTCTTGTGGGCATGTTGTATATTTAGTTCAAATATTATTGCATTTAATATGATTCTCTTAAAAAGTTTCGAATAATTCTTAAACTGAAAATTATGCCGAACTATTAAATTTCCGAAATGCAAATTAATACAGTCGTAACGTTTGTCGAAATGCTTCGTCATAGCTTTTTATACTTCGTTAATTAAACACTTCTGAAAAACACTAGGATATCTACATTAATTAAATACCAGATCTGAAAATTAAATAGTCATTTATATATACATACAAAACTATTACATCTGATTTATGCGTTTTGAAATTAATTACCAATTTTAGTATTTCTTAGCTGGGAATTCTAAAATTTCGTAGCAGAACGTATATGATCTTAATTACCTTTCCTCGCCATTTTGTTATGAAGATCTAAAAATGCAATTATAATCGAAGTTTTAATTGCTTTGCTAAATAATGAGTTATAAAATCTCATTTGCTAAATGAAGCATTTGTCCCACTGATTGGCTTCTTTTCTAGCAAAAGGTAAATACTTTGTATTTATAAGAAAGAAGAAAAAACGCTGAAGAATAACCTTGCGTAATGAATAATACTTTCCAGTGTTTCGTATCTATTTATCGGCTAAATCCTTAAAGCGTAGTCATTCCATAGAAATTAAAGGCCGTTCCCAAATTCTGGCAATTATCCCAGATGTTTCCAAACCTGTGCACGAAAAAAAAAAGATATACAATTGGGAAGAGGAAATAATGAGAGTAATAACATACTACAAACGGGCAGATGTTTTTTTCCTAAGGAATTACATTTGAAACAGGCAGAAAATATTCATTCTGACTATTTCTTCTGTCCTTACAGTAGTTTTAAAAGCAATTAGAGTAATGAGGATTTTCTTTGAAAGAAGTAACGAATGCGAGCTTTATGTACAAAAGTATTCAAACTGCTTAAAAAATGAATTTCATGTTAAACAAGCAGGTTCTATAATTAGAATACATAAAATGAGAGGATAAAAGCATTACCATAAATAACCCAATGAAACATGGTTTGCAAAATAAACATGATACTGCAACTATGCAATTATTACATTATTATGCGTTTTACGTTAAAAGAAATACTAAGTTCAATCATTAACAAACCTGTGTAGTTGAAATTAAATTCTCTTATCACATAGTTCCCTTATATATATATATATATGTGTGTGTGTGTGTGTGTGTGTGTGTGTGTGTGTGTGTGTATAGTTCCCTTATCACTCAAATAGATAGTTTAATAAAAATATGTGGTTGAATTATATTATAACACACAAAAAGGATGATTAAAAAAGGTGTAGCATTTTTAGGTACAACTGTCTTACCAAAAACTCGAATCCTCGAAAGTGCTTCGATGGAAGCGCATTTAAAGTTTTATTACTTCAGGAAAAACGATGCATAACTTTTATATAATAAGAAATTTACATACATTTCAGAGGATTGACTCTTTCACTACATTGTAAAATAAAGAAAAGAATTTAGAAAATGGATTTAGATTAAAACAAGGAAAAAAAACAATCCCGGTTTTGCCGTCATGTCGGTAATATTTTTACTTGTTTATTTGATGTTACCGTTGTGAAACTTCTTAAACTTTACTCAAATACAAGTCACACATCGAGATCAAATAATATCATAACATTTTCAGTATGGGATCTTCCTGCATGCAGTATCGTTCGAAGACTTCTACTAAAATATTTCTTTACGCTAATGAGATTCAGATATGTATTTTTTCATTAATTACGGTACTTTCTCGGTTCTTTCCAGCGGCCAAACGGTAAAGTCGTTGAACACGGGTACTTAGGTCCGGAATTCGAATCCTAGCGAAAGGGCTCGCTGCATGGGTGTTTTCGTGGTTTTCTCCATGTGTATTTCCATACGAGACAGTTTTCCTTTGAAAGTCCTCCACAGCATCCTTTAGGTAGATAGTTTTCAAGTGCCTTGTCGTAATTAAAATAAACCAAACCGTATTTTCATTTTTTAACTAATTTTACCGCCGGAAAATCGAGAGGGAAGCTATGCAAGTAATTCAGTTTCCAAATAGCGAGGTTACAGTAAGAACATAACAAATTAAAAGTAGCCATGGACAAATTATTGCTGAAATGTAGTCACGGTAACTGTATATCGCAATATCATTTCTTTAAAAAAACCTGCATTACAATAAAAATATTAACATTCCAATATCTGACCATAACTGAGTCGAACCTGAATCATTTTCCTCTTAAAACTCCAGGTGCACTTCACATAAATGATTCCTGATCGCAGTTTCCCCGACAGGCATCAGAAGAATGAAAACGACGGGTGAAGAAAAGACCCGGATTTCGAAAGATCCAGCTCATCAGTAATAGATAAGGCTACAATGAGCTGAAACGTAAATAACAGAAGTAAGGGAAATCAGAGGTTTAGAACGTTTCGTAACTGTGAAAACACCTCCCACGTTCAGGTAGCTTAACGAAGAATCTGCATAAAATACGTTTCAGGTATGCAGGGGAAATAAAATGAATCAAATGCAAATACGAACTGAATACTCTAAATCAAAATAAAAATAATTCAATAAAAATAATTAAGGGTTCCCAGTTTACCAATAAAACTAACCCTGAGAGCTACAAACTATGTACAACCGAGGAACAAGGAAAATTATACGAATAATTTTAACATTTTTAGAAACTATCTATAAAACGCTCGAGTGAAAAATACGCCAAAAAATATGGTATAATGACATTATTTCATTCATCAGTCGTACAATGATTATTTCTGCGTACTTTGTATCTTAATAACCTCCAGATATAATAACTTCCTATAATCTCCAACTGTTACAGTACAGCTCTCGACTTACTTCATATGTATGTTATGAAAACCTTTGACGATATCACACCAACATAATATTCTCCAATCCGTAAACCCTCGAAAATCTCTCACTAAACTGAAATGTAATTCTCTAGGCTGAAATGAGACTTTCTGCATAAAAAAGGTCAAAATACTGCCTTATTGTTATGAATTTCAAGCAAGGTGTTCAGTATGTCAGGTTTCACAGGTCTGCATATAAAACCACGGTTAATGGAATATATGTACGTATAAAGAATACCTGCATTCAAGCTGATGTCGTGTAGAGGCATTGGGATTATTTTGGAAGCAGGCGAGATGAAAAATAAGCAATCGCCTTCGCCGGGAATCGAACCACGGACCTCTGAAATACCCGCTCAGCGTGCAAACCACTACACCACGAAGGCTCGTAAAGA